GGACACACACAAAGTAAAAACACTTCAACAGTCACCAAGCGAATNTTAGCTTTGATTTTAATGTGACAATTAAAACATGTCCATTCGACGCTAAATTCCTTCTCTGGACATAACACTAGAATTTTCACTTACACTTTTCACGCACTTATGCCTCGATCCGGCTGGAAGGACCATTTGTTTGATATTGATGCTAAAAATTTAGGCGGGGTGGGGAAAAGTGATTTGGAAAAGGTGTGAAAATTAAGAACACGCGATTTACTAAAACCCCACTGGTGATGTACTTAATTTGTGGTATAAAACACGCGTCCAGAAATTTTATAAGGGTACACTGTTCGTTGAATTGTCTCAATTTAAATTTGACNAAAGTGATTTGGAAAAGGTGTGAAAATTAAGAACACGCGATTTACTAAAACCCCACTGGTGATGTACTTAATTTGTGGTATAAAANAACTGACAGGTGAATCGGAAATGCAATGCAATCCGAACTCCCAAGAATGCAAGAAAGCCGCTCACCGCCACCGCCCGGTGCACGGTTATCAAACAAAATAACTNATTATAAAATTCAATAATTTTAGCTTTGATTTTAATGTGACAATTAAAACATGTCCATTCGACGCTAAATTCCTTCTCTGGACATAACACTAGAATTTTCACTTACACTTTTCACGCACTTATGCCTCGATCCGGCTGGAAGGACCATTTGTTTGATATTGATGCTAAAAATTTAGGCGGGGTGGGGAAAAGTGATTTGGAAAAGGTGTGAAAATTAAGAACACGCGATTTACTAAAACCCCACTGGTGATGTACTTAATTTGTGGTATAAAACACGCGTCCAGAAATTTTATAAGGGTACACTGTTCGTTGAATTGTCTCAATTTAAATTTGACAATTGTCTCTACACTGCACTTGATAATTCTCTTGATAATTCACTTGATTATAGTCTCAAAATGATTGATTATTAACTCGAAATTAATAGATGATTGACTCGAATAGAGACGCTACTAGGAGCGTTAACTCAGTATCTCACGGTGATGTACTCGGTGATGTACTCGATATAGCGATTGCGACAATACTCGACTGTACAAAGATAGAGACGATACGATACTGTGGTTAGAGTGACTCTCTCGGTGTCTAGAACGATACTACTGACTTTTTCGGCAATTTTCTTCGTAGCTGACCGTGACCCCGAAGGGTCCCAAAGTTTCTCGAGATTTTTCGTTGAGCCCGGTACCATTAGATAGGAAATTGTTGCTGTGTTTTAAACAGGTTATTGTAAAAACATCTAGAGGAGAAAAGATTGACGAAAACAATGTGTCTTATGACAAAAGTCACATTTTCTCATAGAACACTCCATTGACTCGATTTTTATGGATAGACTGATGGAGAAGGATCGTTTAGTCATGAAGATCACTCAGTAGGCATTACTGTCTAAGAACAGTGCCTCATTTACCTCAATATCATCATACAATGTAGCGAGTTACAGAAAGACTCAATAACTTTATCTTTATAATCTGATCGTTACAACTGTCTGCATTATAACATTCTCCGTTTCCCTCTAAATATGATCGGAGCAATAGACATTATTTTTCATTGTTATTCTATCATTTAATAATACTATTTTCGTACCTAACATTAGCGGCACTTTAAATTAAGCTTGATCCAAGCCCGGTGATAGCGAATGCTTGAGCAGGGGGGTCGAGCTCCCGTGTTAAAGTGTTAGACAGGCTTTTGCCGGAATCGACCACTTGGGGCGCTGTTGGGCGGTGGCGGGGATTTCAATGGGGATAGGAAGTGACAGCATACTTGTTTTTTGAAATATTCACCTGTCATCAACTTGAGAGAAATACTCAGTAGGAGTCAAAAATAAATTAATAAATAAATTGCATACTCAATAATACAAATCCAAGGGGAAGTATCCATCGGGCGTGCACGAATCACACACGGTACGTGAACAATATAATACTAATATTGTCAGTGTTAATCAGGCGAAGAATCCATTAGAGATCCAAACAGCAATAGTATTGGCGTTCTGTACTAATTATAATTCATTAATCAATTGAAGGGCCAATCTAGGTTCCTCAGAATCTACAATATCGGTTTCTTCTGTTATCAGATATATCCTGGGATCATAGACTCCGTGACGTATGTATGCATTGTACGAGGGTACACAGCAAGGGCAAATCGTTTCTTTCAATTTCCAACAACGGATGCACAGCGATTAAGAATTCGATTATCTGTGGCATTACCTCACGAGAGTCATGCCTCACCAGGGTCAAATGTCAGCAGAGTCTCAGCTCACGGGGTCAAACATCATAATGATCATACCTCACAAGGGTCGTGCTTTGCAAGGGTCACAAGGGGATGGTCATGTTTCACGAGGGTCACTAGAGGATGGTCAAATTTCATGAGGACCCAACGTTTCAAGGCTCACAAAGGAAACGTCAAATTTTGAAGGGGATCAAACGCCACGAGAGTCAGAAGAAACTAATGAAATTCCACGATGGTTGAATGCCACAAGGGTCAGTTCACCGAGGGTCCAACGTCACAAGGGGATGAGCAAATTTCTCAAGGGTCACTCGGGTCACAAGGGAACACGATGCTTAGACGATCCTTAAAAGTCACATGGAACAATCTCAGGCTCTTAGTTGTGAGTGGGATAATTGTGCTAATTATGGAGCTTATTGAATTTCCACGGAATCAATTGGGGTCCTGAAAAATTGAAAAATTTACCATCTCCTGTGACCCACATGACGTTTGACTTTTGTGAAATTTGACAATCCCATTATAACTCTCATGTCGTTCGACTCTCATGAAATTTGATCGTTTCCTTGTGACCCTCGTGACGTTTGACTCTCATGGAATTTGACCATCCTCTTACGATTCTCGCGTTGACTCTCGAATTGACTCTGGTGACGTTTGACCCTTGTGAGATTTTACTCTGGTGACCTTTGACTCTCGTGAAGTTTGACCCTGGTGACGTTTGACCCTCGTCAGATTTGACTGTAGTGACGTTTGACTCTCGTGAGCTTTTTATCCTGGTGAAGTTTGACCTTCGTAAGGTGTGACTTCGGTAACGTTTGACCCTTATGAGGTATGATTCTGATGACGTTTGACCATCACGAGGTATGATTTTGGTGACGTTTAACCCTCGTGAGGTATGACCATTATACGGTTCGACCCTCGTGAGGCATGACCCTGGCGGCGTTTGATCCTCATGAGGTATGACCCTGGTGACGTATATTACGCGATGCATGGTTGGAGTCATCCCCAGTCAAATCCGCGTCTATAGGGTTTGAAATCTCATGAATTCACATAAAAACTGAAGCACATAGAATGTCAAGAAAAAAAGGAGAAAAAATAAATGTTTATTGCATTAACATGGAAAACATACTTTGTGCGAAATGTCTGTTTTCCAAATGATGAATAAATTAATTTGAAATGATGATTCATTTGTAATTTTATTGTATAGTGATTTTTGAGGATTAAAGAACCCCTGATGAGAGCTTCCCTGGAGGCCGAAACTTTGGGTTATCGATAAGAATTCTGAGTTTTATTTCAATTTGTAAAATTACTAAAGTTCGCTTAGGCCCTATCATCTACTAAATATGAGAAAAATTAAGTGATCAAAAAGGATGACCTCATATAAGATGACAAATACTGCTTGATAAACCCTGCCTACTAGCGAAAAGTCGTCTCATAATGATCAAACTCAATCTAATTCCTATTTCACTGACCCCCGTCGGTTGGACATTTGAAGTTCATGCTGCCGATCGTTTTCCAACCCCCTCCACCATTAATTCTACTAATTACAGCGCGCTAAGTGGTCGGTTCTTACGAAACATTGTCTAACTTTCCCCATCTGAGCTTGACCCGTCTGGGCTTGAGTATCAGCCTTGTACAGGGCATGGTTTGGTTCAGGATCCTAGTCCTTGTGTCTGTGACACCCCTGTGTACATGAACAGATCGAAAATAACAAAGGGAGACGAGTATCGGGGCTGCACTCATTGTTGCCGTTGCATGACAAGAGAACAAAGGCGTATATCTGTTGAAGTTCTCAATGAATGGGGTACATGTCCGTACCTGCCAGTGCCTGTGATTATTATCCCCTCGTATTATCCTTCTCTCGCTCTTTCTTGCGATCAGCTCGGATCTCGATCGCAATGTTTCCTCGCATCCTTCCTGAAGCGAACAGTGTAGATTTTTCGATATCTTGTCGTTATGGTCTCCCAGTTTTAATCCAATGTATTATTGCTGTGGTAACATCTGTGTTGACCATGAATAAAGATAGCTTGCATATAAAAGAAACTAAGAAAGCATTTTCTACGAGGTCCAATCAAGTTTATGATTTGATTTCATGTTTTCGAATCATGTTGCCATCTATTTGTTCATAACATTTTTTCGTTTATGACGATTTCGTTGCTAAACGGATAGAGCTACGAAAGAAATTTTCGAATAAGAAGTGTTTCTCACTTTAAAATTAGTCAATTTTGTATTTTGACTTTTGATGATATCTCCATTATTTACGGAGATATCGCCTTTTTTAGTGGAAGACGCGCGCACGAGGCCATTTGCGCCTGGACTGCGCGCTTGAATAGCCCACGCCCTTCACTGAAAGAGCAATATCTCCGTAAATAGTGGAGATATCATAAAAAATCAAATCACAAAATTCACGTATTTTTAGATGGGGAACACTTTTTATTCGACATTTTTTTTTGTATGTCTAGCCGTTTGGCCGCAAAACGAGCAGAAAACACCATGACACCAAAAAACCAACTCCGGATTAGCATTCAGTACCCTCGAACACGTATAATCAAATCATAAAATTGACTGGACCTCGTAGTGCATACTTTTTTGGACTAGCGTATAGACTAGGAGTGGAACATAGTCGAGGAAACGTTATCCGAGAATAAAACATCAATGTTTTCCACCTCTGACATTTTTTTCATTTTTTTTTCAACGGTTCATAATAGTTAATAATAATGGCTGAAAATCCGTTTCAGGGTGAATAAACTTTGGGATATTGAGAGGACTTTCCGAGGCCACCCTCGAGTACTATCAACTCCCAGGCGTGAGAATATATTAATTGACGAATTGTAATTAATTCATTGGGAGAATCTATTCTCAGCTAAGTTGATAACTCTTCTACTAGAGGTGGCAAAACTGGGTAAAATTCAGAGGACATCCTGGAAACCATCCTCGAGTGTTATCACTGGTCAATCATGGTAAAAAAAAATCAATTAGCTAAATGTAATTAATCAATTTAACGAATCGATTCTCAGCTAAAGTGATAACGAACCTCCCAGAGGTGATAATAATTTCTGGGATGTCCTCTGGAAGATTCAGAGGACATCCCGGATGTCATTCCTCAGTAATATTTAAATTAGATTTTATCAACCTCCATCACAATCACCAATGGGTGATAGAGCACTCATAGAAAATATCAATCAACTAATTCTGATTAATTAATCAAGGAATTTCATTCTGACAATCAGTCAAATTGATAGCTGTCATGCTGTTTTATAAATAGATTTTCCTCTGCGTAATGATAACCCTCAAGGATGACCTTTGGGAGGTCCTCTCAATTTTCCAGAGTTTTGTCACCTTTGGAAGGACGTTTATCAACTTAGCTGAGGATAAATCTTCTCAATTAATTAATTAGTTTCTTACAATTAATATTCCTTTTATCACTGAGAGAGGATAACACTGTATACGGAAAAAAAAATTCTCGAATCGGGTATACAATATTCCGGAATCGAGAATATGTATATTTCGGTTCCCGGGATATGATATACCGGATTCGGGGATATCATTTCGGATTGCGGTATATTTCATCTTCGATCCCGGAATAATATTCCGCGAGTGGAGTGATCACAAGGCGCAAGCTGGGGAGGGGACTACCATGATCACAAGGGTCTAAAGGGGGAGCGAATCATCATGAGGGTTAAACGGAGGAGGCGAGTCGCGCGATCTCGAGGCTTAAGTGGGGGGAGGGGGGTTAAGTGATCACAGGGGTTGAATAATAGGGACCGGGTGAGAGTTTCAGAAAGAAAAAAATCAATTAAAGAATTTTCGTTTCAAATTTTGGAATGGATAAATGAAAAGAGCCTTGTTTCAAGGTAAAAAAAAAATCCATCTAAATAGAGGATTAAATTTCGACCCACCAAAAGGGAGGCAAAGAAGTGATTAGGGGTAAAAACGACAAATTTCTTTTTTTTTTATTCTAAGAAAAAAGTTCTCACTGGTTTGGGACGAATATACTCAAATTATTTGTTTGAAAAATAATCACAGACATCCCCGCAAGCCTCCTAAAAAATCACGAGCCCTGTGGAGTTGGGGAAAGGATGTTTTGGGGTGGACTAACAGAATTATTTAATTATTTTTTTCATACAAACAATTATTTACACTGGGTTGGAGGGAACTTTTGCAAATTTTTCGGTTGAAAAATTTGCCTAGGTTTCCTCCAATCCAGTGTAAATCTTTCGTTCATTTTATTAGAAAAAATATAAATTTACGGATTTCACTCAGGATTTTTCAGGAGGCTTGCACGGATGTCAGATTATTTTTCAAGCGAAAAAAATTAGGAGTCTCCCCGATCCAATAAAAATATTTTTTTTTTTAAGAAAAAAAATCCAGTATTTGACCCCCCCCCCCCCCAAACACCCCCTTTTTCCTCCACTCCAAACCACGCGGAAGATTTTATGAAGCTTGCGAGAGTATCTGAGATTATTTTTCAATCAGACAATTTGAGTAGGTTGCCCTCGATCTAGTGAAAATATTTTTTTCTGTTAGAAAAAACTCGAAATTAGGATTTTTACCCCCAAGCACCACTTTGCCCCCTTCGGATGAGTCCCATCTTTTTCTGGCGGTTGGGGGGGGGGGCGTGCCTAGCAGTATTTCCCAGATGAAAAATTCAAGTACGTACGGACCCCTGGAGTGTAAACATTTTTTGTGTAGAAAAAACTAAAAATGTAGGGTTTTTACCCTCAAGC